CCCCAAAACCCCAAAACCCCAAAACCCCAAAACCCCAAATTTTAATAATTTAGCTGAAAATCTTCCATAAGTTTTATGAGTAATTTGCAGCCTAGACCAAAACAATTCCTACCTTGTCAGTACTGACATCATTGATATACCAGTTATAGAGGTAGTAGTAGAGGTTTCCATTACCTTGGCCGAAGTGGAGGTCTTCGAATACTTCCTTATTGTCCATAATATCAAGAGCGTTGAAAACATCAAATTTATCTCTCTTGGCCAGGATCAAGGCCTGTCTCATTAACTCCTTAATAGTGTGCTTCTTTGGAACCATGTAGTAGCTGAATGCAGCGTAAACTGCCTTATGCTTCTCACTCTTGAGACATGTGGATGGTAAGCTGTAGTAAGAAATAAAATCAGTGATCCTCTTGGTATCTGGATCCTCTACAACATATGAGTAGACCACATTATCACGAGGAAGCATGAAATGAAGGACCTCTTCCTTGTTGAAATGGAACGAAAGACTGAAATTCTTGAGATACTCATCTAACAAAGCTTGAACTTGCTTCACATCCCTTCTTTCCATTTGACGAACATTCTCAATGATGTCATTCTTTGGAAGACTTAAGAGCTTGATGTGAGCAGATTTTGATCTGCCTGGGGGGACTCCAGCAAAACCAACTTCTAATAATTTCTTGGTGTTGATATTTCTATGGTAATAAGTACACTCGGTGAAAGGCTTTGGTAATACTTTTCCAGCTGTATAAATAGCTTGCCACATGTCTTTAATGTGGGTTCTTCTTGTAATTTCTTTAATCAAGACTGGAGCAACTCTCATGTCTCTGAGTTTAGCATGAACGCAGAGGAAATTGATTTCTACCATCTTTACCATTTTTCCTTTGATTCTCAATTTTACTGGGATGCCTGTAATGAAACCAAACAATTTATTCTTCTTTCCGCCTCTGACTCCGAGAATCCAATCTGAATTTTGTTTTGGAGGAAGAAGTGCCCATTTTAAAAATTCTTTCTGGTAGTCAAATCTAAACATGTGGTCAGAATCTTCAACATAATGGTCTCTAAGGAGTTCATAAACGTCATTGAGCTGTTCTTCATCCTCAAGGTCAATATCGTACCACTCAAAGCCTGGTGGCAAAGAGTAAGACTCTTGTTTGACTTCTTCCAAAACTCCTTTCTCAATTTCTCCTTCAGTAAAAGCTCCTGAAAGATTAGGAACAGGTTGGGTGTCCCAAAAGTCATGCTTCTCGTACAGTGGCTTCATCTTCTGCATATGTTCCATAGCTTCTTTAGCTTTTGGGTCTTTAGGATCCATGCCTGCTTGCATTTTCTTAACCATCTCGAAGACCTGTTGCTTCTGCTCCTCAGTCATGCCTTTGGTAAGGTCCTTCTTTTCTTCTTCGACGTCTTCGGTCTTGGCATGTGTCTCTTCTTCGTGGTGGTGGTCACAGCCGTGGGCACAACCGGTGCCCTCTTCTGGCATTTTCTCCATATCTTTTTAATTATAGCGTTTCAAACTTTTTAGTTGAATTCGGGGTTTTGGGGTTTTGGGGTTTTGGGGTTTTGGGG